GACATGCTGGCATTCTTAGAAATAGGAAGATCTCTTTGGGTCATCCAGTATATGGGGGAGATGCTTTGACAATATGTCTTGGACTTCTCTCTAAGACGATGTTGCAATATCTTGAGTCGTAAGGTAATCAGATGAAAAGATTGATGTCTTCTATTTTCTTGTTATCTGACCTTGTTACCCCTTAATTCTGAATATCTAATAAAAATTTCCTGAAGTGGGGCATGGTGGCTCACACCTATAATTCCAGTGCTGTGGGAGGCCAAGGTGGGTGGATCACTTGAGATCAGGAGTTCAAGACCAGCCTAGGCAACATGGTGAAACCCCCATCTCTACAAAAAATACAAAAATTAGCCAGGCATGGTGACATTTACCTGTAGCCCCGGCCATTCAGGAGGCCGAGACTGGAGAATCACTTGAACCCAGTAGGTTGAGGCTGCAGTGAGCTGTGATCACTACTGCACTCCAGCCTGGGTGACAAAGTGATACCCTGTAAAAAAAAAATTCTTTTTCTGGGAATACTGTCATGAATATTTTTCTAGACTTAAAGTATACTCAGCTTTTTTATCTAATTTCAGCTTAGTTTCAGGAGTGAAAAAGCTCTTTATATTTCAGCTGATAGATGAGAAAGTAACTGTGAGAAACAATATTATAGTAACTCATTTAACACATGTAAGTTATTTGTGTTTACGGTTATTTAAGAAATAGGATTTATGTAAACTGTGGCAATATAATTTTAGAACATTTTGCAATATTAAAATTAACTATAATTGAACTCGTTTGTGCTTCCTTATGCAAAAAAAGATTAATTTAAAATTACTTAATATCCAGGCCAGGCACAGTCACGCCTGTATTCCCAGCACTTTGGGAGGCTGAGGTGGGTGGATTATGAGGTCAAGAATTTGAGACCAGCCTGGCCAAGATGGTGAAACCCTGTCTCTACTAAAAAATATAAAAATTAGCCAGGTGCAGTGGCAAGCACCTGAAATCCCAGCTACTCGGGAGGCTGAGGCAAGACAATCACTTGAACCTGGGAGGCAGAGGTCGCAGTGAGCTGAGATCATGCCACTGCACTCCAGCCTGGGTGGCAGAGCAAGACTCCATCTCAAAAATAAATAAATAAATATTTAATATCCAAAAAGAAAAATTGAGTTGTGCATCTTTACAGTACTTAAGAGAATTCCTTAATATTGTTTGGGACATATTTAATTTCAGTTTGCATTTTCTGCTGTTTAGATCTGTCATTCTGTATTGTAAAAGCTGTATACTGTAACTTTTTTTTGCCTTAAGTAGATTATCTTATGTATATTTTTAAAAAACACAAGCCGTAATTCTCTATAGTCTATTGAAATTAATGCTCACTGTTTTTCCTTTGTGTATAAAACTATTCATCATTTTATGACTGTCTTCTAAATATAGTTTAAAAGAATTGTAAAAGAAATATTTTACAGTGAGAGGGAAATGAATTTGAATGTTTACAGAAGATCACCTTTGAATAATTGCAGTTTGCTCTGTCATAGAGCTGTTAACGATCTGTGCTGGAACAAATAGCAGCTTATGGCCAGGTTGTATTTTGACTCCAGGAGTTCATTGATGAAGTCATGGGACACAGTTCCGAAAGCATGCTGCCTGGAAGTGGGTCTGTTCCTAAGAAGTCACCTGAAGCTCCCTTTAGAACCTACCAGGCTTTCATGTGAGCCCTGTACAAATACTTCATTGGTTTCAAAGAGGAACTTGCAGAAATTGAGAAGTGCATCATCAATAATGGTATTAAATGTTCTTCAGTTTTACTCATACTACACATAACTTATAATTAGAATGCCATTTAGATTTTTCATTGTATAAGATTTGAAAGTTGCCTGGCAAATAAGTAGTTCTCGTGCATATTTTAATTTTAAAATTAAATTTGTATTTTTAACCCATTCGTATCTCCCAAAATAAAAAAACTACAGAGGATTTAGACTGAAAAGTCTAAATTACTCTTCCTGCACCAGTTCCCCAGCCAGTCAATTCCCCTCCCCAGAGATGGCCCGGTCCTCAACTTCTTACACATCCTTTCAGAAAGAGTTCAGCGTACACAAGCAGTGCGTATACATACACCCATACGTAACAGTCATTACACTACTCGCTTCAAATATTTCTAATTTAAATTTTGAGGATAATACCATAAAAATATGAAGAGCTTCTTGGTTTTTTGTTTGTCTGTTTTTCTGAGACAGAGTCTCACTCTGTTGCCCAGGCTGGAGTGCAGTGGCGCTATCTCAGCTCACTGCAACCTCTGCCTCCTGGGTTCAAGCGATTCTCCTGCCTCAGCCTCCTGAGTAGCTGGGATTACAGGCACATGCCACCACACCCATCTAATTTTTTGTATTTTTAGTA